CCATCCGTCCAATTTTGGCCAGTCGACGTTGATGTAACACTGCTGGCGCTAAAGTGGACTTTTTAAAATAATTTTTAAAATTTTTTTCTTTTCTTTTCCTTAGTTTTTTTCCCTCCACTTAGGGCTGATGAGGGTCGCCGGCCATAGGCGAGGGCGTCCTGGCCCTCGCCGGCACTAGGCGAGGGCCGTGGTGCCCTCGCTTGGCCAGATCTGGTGAGGGCATCTCGGCCCTAAGTGGAGGGGAAAAAATTAAAGAAAATAAAAATAATAAAAATTTCTAAAATTATTAAAATATTATTAAAAAATTCCACACCGATGTCAGTTGGCCAAAATTGCCTAGATGGATTGAATTGGCAGAAATGCAAGAGGTTTAAGTCTAAATTGGCACAACTACAATAGACTTAGGACTTTTCAAATAATTTTCTTGAATAATGTTAGTGATTCGGGCAGTGAATGACAACTATTTTGTTTCGAAAATTAATTTATGGCCAGAAATAGAATTTTTGTTTCTATTCCATGGATGAGTTTCTGAGCAAAAATATACATTTGATAACTACACAATTTCTGTTCCAAAACAAAAATTTGTTTGATAACGGCACAAAATTTCTCCTTCTTGAGTGGCTGGCAAGTGGACGGCAGCAGGGGATGGTGGGCGGCGAGGGGAGGCGGCGGCGGACGGCGAAGTGGCCAGTGTGGAGGATGACGGCCAGCATTGGGTAGCAACGGGAGGTGGGCGACGGCTGGTGGCGGAAGGTGGGTGGCAGCGAGAGGAGGGCAGCGACGGGAGGTGGGCGGCGGTGGGAGAAGGGCGGCCGGCGGCGGGAGACAGTGAACGGTGGGAGGCGGCAGCTGATAGGTGGGTGGCGGGTGGGTGGGTGGGCGATCGGCTAATAGCGAGGGCGAATGATCTCATTTTTATTATGGAAATAGAAAAGTAGAAAATTTTTACTTTTCATTTATGTTCTAAACCTATTTCTGAAATTAAAATTTGTTCCATAAATAAAAATAAATAAAATTACGTTACCAAACGGATTTTCGTTCCAAACTTGTTTCTAAACCTATTTCTGAAATTAAAATTTGTTCCATAAATAAAAATAAATAAAATTGCGTTACCAAATGGATTTTCGTTCCAAACTTGTTTCAGAAACATAAAAATAGAAAAACAGAATGGTTATCATTCGCAGCCTCAACAACCGTAAACTTATAGTTTAAGAAATTGTTTTGTAATAAAAGGATGTGATTTATTCTTGTACAATTAGATGTATCTGTAGTTTTGGGTGAACTCTCCATTGGATTTGTATCATATGGTAATTGACGAAGTCCAAAAATACATCCTGAAACCTATCTCCCTTTTCTTTGTCTTTTCTCCTCCTTTACCCAAATAGAGTAGCCCACTGACCCACCGTTGGCGCTTATTCTGCCGCCCATTGCAACCATCGCTAGTCGTCGCCACTACCCCTACAACCGCCAACTCCATCAAAGAAATTCATATGGAGCATAAGAAAGCAACAAAGATTTTTGTTAATAATATTTTAGCTATTGCTTTGGCGAAAAATTCAGTTTTTCATGAACAAAGCAAACATGTTGATGTTCAATATCACTTCATTTGAGAACAAGCAAGAGAGAAGGAAATTGAAGTTTCACATGTGAATAGGGGAGATCAAGTACTAAAATTTTTTACTGAACCTTTCAAGATTGATGCATTTCGGAAGTTCAAATGTCTGCTTGGAATGATTAATGGAAAAGAATTCGGTTTAGGGGAGTGTTAGTAAATAAACCAAATTCATTTCAATGGAAGTTGTCAATTATGCGACGAGGTTATTGATTCAATGGATGAGTTGTCGATTTTAATGGTTGTCAATCGTTTACTTGCTTGTCGATTTACAAGATTGATGCCAATGTCTGCTCGGCTTCCGAGATGGCGCATAAATTGAGAGAGACTTTGTTATAATGTTGCTTTAAAGAGTATGTTCGCATTTCAATGTCTAGTTAATGTTTTATGACCGTTCATGTTTCTATGTTGAGTTTAATGTTCTATAAATTCTCAGGAATCTATCTCCTTGTAATGCTAAATATATCTATGAATCATTTAAGAGTCTTGTAATAGCCTATATAAAGGCAAGTCTTGTGATCATTCCTTTCAAGGTGAAATAAAAAAGCAAAAAAAAAAACCTATTTTCCCTGTTCTCTTCGTTGAGTTGTGCGAGTTGTGAGAGTTTTCACATTCGAACATCCTCAATCGACAACTTTAGGACGTTGATCAAGAACTCTTTTCTAGGATCGACAATTCTCTTGGGGAATGGACAAGTCATTTTCAAAATTACCCTATCATTGAAGAGGCTGATAAAGTTGATACATGGTTCTATCTGTAGACTCTTGCTCTATTTTTTTAACTATACCGAACCTTTCCTTGGTCGATTCAATGGATGAGTTGTCGATTTTAATGGCTGTCAATCGTTTACTTGCTTATCGATTTACAAGATTGATGCCAATGTCTGCTCGGCTTCCAAGACAGCGCATAAATTGAGAGAGGCATTGTTATAATGTTGCTTTAAAGAGTATATTCGCATTTCAATGTCTAGTTAATGTTTTATGTCCGTTCGTGTTTCTATGTTGAGTTTAATGTTCTATAAATTCTCAAGAATCTATCTCCTTGTAATGCTATATATATATATATATATATATATATATATATATATATATATATATAAATCATTTAAGAGTCTTAATTGTAATAGCCTATATAAAGGCCAGTCTTGTGATCATTCCTTTCAAGGTGAAATAAAAAAGCAAAAAAAAAAAAACCTATTTGCCCTGTTCTCTTCGTTGTGTTGTCCGAGTTGTGAGAGTTTTCACATTCAAACATCCTCAATCGACAACTTTAGGACGTTGATCGAGATCTCTTTTCTAGGATCGACAATTCTCTTGGGGAATGGACAAGTTATTTTCAAAATTACCCTATCATTGAAGGGGCTGATAAAGTTTATACGTGGTTCTATCTGTAGACTCTTGCTCTATTTTTTTTAAGGGAAAAAACCACCAAAAACCCCAAACTTTGTCATCTGTGACACATTTACCCCGAACTTTTTTTTGTGACACCAAAAACCCCGAACTTTGCTTTTTGTGACACATTTACCCCAATGTATTTAGTCCATGGGCATTTTCGTTTTTTTTGCTTTTTCTTTTTTTTTCCTTTCCGACGAGGGCGGCCCTCGCCTGGGCGAGCGAGGGCGGCCCTCGCCGGCGTCGGGCGAGGTTCGCCCTCGCCTGGGCGAGCGAGGGCGGCCCTCGCCCGACTCAGCGAGGTCGACCCTCGCCGGCGTCGGGCGAGGGTCGACCTCGCTCGAGTCGGGCGAGGGCCGCCCTCGCTCGCCCAGCGAGGCGACCCTCGCCGGCGTCGGCGAGGTCCGCCCTCGCACGGGCGAGCGAGGGCGGCCCTCGCCCGATCTGGCGAGGTCGACCTCGCCGGCGTCGAGCGAGGGCGGCCCTCGCGGATCCGGCGAGGGCGGCCCTCGCCAAATCGGGCGAGGGCGACCCTCGCTCGACGCCGGCGAGGGTCGCCCTCGCCCGATCCGGCGAGGGCCGCCCTCACCGGCGTCGGGCGAGGGCCACCCTCGCTCGCCCGAGCGAGGGCGACCCTCGCCCTACGCCGGCGAGGGTCGACCTCGCCGGATCGGGCGAGGTCCGCCTCGCCCGCCCGATGAGGCGGACCTCGCCCGACGCCGGCGAGGGTCGCCCTCGCCTGGGCGAGCGAGGGCGGCCCTCGCCCGACTCGAGGCAAGGTCGACCCTTGCCCGATGCCGGCGAGGGTTGACCTCGCTCGAGTCGGGCGAGGGCCGCCCTCGCTCGCCCGGGCGAGGGCGAACCGCGCCCGACGCCGGCGAGGGCCGCCCTCGCTCGACGCCGGCGAGGGCTCCCCTCGCCGGATCCGGCGAGGGCCCCCCTCGCCGGATCCGGCGAGGCCCCCCCTCGCCGGAAAGGAAAAAAAAAAAAAAAAAAGAAAAAGCAAAAAAGACGAAAATGCCCATGTACTAAATACATTGGGGTAAATGTGTCACAAAAAGCAAAGTTCAGGATTTTTGGTGTCACAAAAAAAAGTTCGGGGTAAATGTGTCACAGATGGTAAAGTTTGGGGTTTTTGGTGGTTTTTTCCCTTTTTTTAACTATACCGAACCTTCCCTTGGCTCTCTATTTTTTTGCACAGAGCTTAACAAATAAAAAGAGTAATGTTAGTTGTACAGTAGCTGTAGAGTGATAGTTTAAGAAATTGTTTTGTAATAAAATGATGTGATGTGATGTGATGGAACTCTTGTAGGGTGCTTGAACATGACACATTCATGAGAATAAGCTTCCTAGGATGTTTGCTTGGCTTCACTCTCATTTTCGCTCCAAGATGTAGCAGTAACTTAGAGAGATAATATATGATTTAGGAACAGTATCTTCCGCAATAGCTTTTCCAGGGATGGAGTGGAAGGCAGTTACGTGCACGGTACGGAAGTGAATACGTTTGTATTTATTTTCTTTTAATACAATTAGAAATTAAATAAAAAAAATAGTGGGAGAGATCAGAGGGTGATTATATACTTATTAACTTGGAAAATCTATTCCAACATTAACTCTGATATCATTTAATTGCATCGCAAGGTTTCGTGCTGTCGGTCATAATTGTTTCACGGAAGTTTTAGAAAATGCCAAAATAGTGCTAATCCTTTCTGTTCTTTTTTGCATTAGTTTACCCCTAATTTAGGACGGTCTAGTAAAACGAATCTACCTTGAATGTATTTCTCGTAAATTGAACAGATACTCGGTATATTTACGATTTTTTTCTTTAAAAAAGAAAAGATGAAGCCAGCAAAAGTATTTTTGCATTATGGAGGTAAAGTCGTGCATCGCGAACGTTAACAGTACACAACATCTGAACTGAAACTGTATTATTGACTTCCATGGACAGAAATATAACTTCCTTTATTATCGCGGTGCTCGTTCTCGTACCTTCATCATCAGTAATGTAATGCGTAGGCATCGTACTTCACAATTGCATTATTCGTCCTCGGATTGTTAGTGTATGTTCTCAGCTGAATATATCCGCGAGCAAACCGGAAAATGCCGGTCCCTCCTACGATCGCCAGCTCCCTAGGATTTTTCAGAATCGGGTCTTGCCCCAACACGCTCAACGTGCTCCCGTTGTACGCTCCTTCCACAAAAACCAAGTTCATCGTTAAGGTGAGGCTGACCTCGCTTTGTGATGACGACGCATATATCCCCTGCGCTCTCCCGACGAGCGTGGAGTTTGGGTCTGGGCTCATGGTCAATGGGTCGTCGATGACCGCGACGAGGCCGAAAGACGTAGATGACGTATTTGTTGTTGCTGCTTGGGCGACGGGCACGGCAGTAGGATGTTGCCCGGTGATTGTGTCGTGGAGATAGAAGCGAAGATGGGTCATCTTCTCGGGTTTGAGCCCGAACTGATCTCGAGCAGATAGTTCTCGAGCGAACAGTGTCTCGGATTTGATCGCGGTGAGAAAGGTGAGGGAAAAGAAGAAGGCCAAGATGGTGAAACTCGTCTTGAAGTGAGCCATTAGGGAGAGAGAGATTTGATGCGTGTTGAAGAGGAGGCTGCTAACATTGATATATAATTCCATCCGGAGACTTTTGCTCTAATTTTTAACTATAGAGAAGCTTTCATTGGCACTCTAAATAATAGTGATGAATCCTTCTGAGGTACTTGAACATGACACATTCATGAGAAATAATGCTCAATGTGCTATAAATTATTCTTGCATTTTATGCATTATGCTTTTATATCACTAGAGATAAGAATATAGCTTAAAAGTGACCCGGAGAATTTTCTGTACATCTAGATATATGGAAAAGAGTACATGGAGAGCCTATTTCTAGGCTAAATGAGATGGCTATCTAAGGTAATAAGATAAATACAATATCAAATATAATCGAACAAGGATATGCACCATCAAAAAAAGACATATGCATAATCATGAGAGAAATGCAAAATCAAGTCGTTATCCCTAATATCACTAACACCTAGCATTATTTGAAAGCAAATTGTAGTACATATCCATAAAAATCAATGCTAACATGGATGATTTTTATATACACGAGCTGCATAAATAATCTCTGAGATAATAAAAGATGCTTTCCAAAAGCAGGCACGTGTTTTACTCACAAAGTTAGCGAAATTATAGTTAACAATCGTACATCAAGCTAGGTCATGGTTATAAGGCAAAAAAATGTCCTTTTTTTTCCCTCCAATGAGTTGTGAAATAGGTACGATGGCATATCCGCTGACTAGGCAGAGCAAGGTCAACGTACTAATTATCGATCAATCTTGGGATATAATGAGTACTTTGGGAGCACCTAATAATGCTTAACAGAAAAATCACCGGTCGTTATCGGCTGACTAGGCAAAGCAAGGTCAACGTACTAATCAGGTAGCCGCCTGGATATTTGAGAGGATCAAATTTTGGATTAATTAGTTAGCCGCCTACGTAAGCACCAGTGGTTTTGAGTAGACTCTCGATTTCATTTGCATCGCATGGCAATTGACGAAGTCAAATTGGACCAAGAGAGTTCCGAGGGCAAGTTTAATTATGCATTTGGAAATTGACTATTCGGTATGTATGGAATTCTATTTTGTTTTGTCTATGTCACCCAAGGCCATGGTGGCCTAGCCGTATCTGGGCAAGGGTGGCGGCAGATTTTCTGATGAGGCAAATGTCGACGTCACCTAAGTAATTGATTTTTCAAATTTGTGGTATTTAAGTGATCAATTTTTCAAATTTGTGGTACTTAAGTGAATGAAAAAAATTACAAAAATTGTTCATGTCGGCGTTGGTGGTACCGCGTGGGCCAACTGCTATCCACGTCAGATTTCAGGCAAGACAAATCACTGATGGTACTTAAGTGATCGATTTTTCAAATTAATAACACTTAAGTGAGCGAAAAAAAAATTATGGCACTTAAGTGAGCGCCGTATGAAAATTATGGCACTCCCACTGTTCTTATCCCGATTTAATCAGTAGACTTTTGCTCTAGTTTTCTAACTATAGAGAAGCTTTTATTGACATTCTAATTTTTCGCGCAGAGCTTAGCAAATCAGAAGAGGATAATGTTAGTTGTGCAGTAGCTATAGACTGATAGTTTAAGAAATTGTTTTGTAATAAAATGATGTGATGCAACTTTTGTAGGGTACTTGAACATGACAAATTCATGAGAAATAATGCTATGTGTGCTATAAATTATTCTTGCATATTTTGCATGTATGCTTTTATATCACTAGCAATATCTTAAAGCAAAGTGTAGTATACATCCAGAAAGTCAATGCTGACATGGGTGATTGTTATATACACTGGTTGTAATCTAGAGATTAATCAAAGATGCTTTTAATAAACAGACACGTGTTTTACTCGCAAAGTTAGAGAAATTATAGTTACCAACAATACATCAAGCAAAGTCATCGTTAAAAGGCAAATATATATTTCTTTCGCTCTAATGATTAGTGAAAGGTCTTTATTAGCATAACTTGTCTCCAGCTGACAGTTCCCGAATGCTTTTAATGCGACGGGTATGGCAGTAGGGTGTTGCTCGGTGACTGTGTCGTGGAGATGAAAGCGAAGATGGGTCATCTTCTCGGCTTTGACCCTGAACTGATCTCGAGCCGACAGTTCTCGAGCGAACAATCCCTCGGATTTGATCGTAGTGAGAAAGGTGAGGGAAAATAGAGAAGCTTTCATTGACTTTCTAGTTTTTTAGACGGAGCTTAACAAACCAAAAGAGAGTTATGTTAGTTGTACATAGCTGTAGACTGGTAGTTTAAGAATTCTTGTGGGGTACTTGAACACGAGACATTTATGAGAAAAAATGCCATATGTGCTATCAATTGTTCTTGCAATTTATGCATGTGTGCTTTTATATCACTAGCATTTCTTTAAAGCAAAGTGTACGATACATTCAGAAAGTCAATGCTAACATAGTGACTGTTATACACAAGTTGCAGGAACTCCGAGATTGGATCGCGAGCATATACGTGCAATCGACATATATTACAGGTCGATCTTGGGATAGAACAAGTATTTTGTGGGATTGATCTGTGATCCTAGAATCGTGCGTGCACAACTTGAATGTTCAATAGAAAACAATCAGTCATTATCCCTCCCGCCTTTTTTTTCGAGGATTTTCCGCATCTAGATCTAACGGGGTCGGGAACACCAGGTGGAAACATTGGACTAGGTAGAGCGAGGTCAACGTTTTAATTATCTAGCCGCCTACAGATGTGAGAACATCCACGAGATGTCTCGGTAGTTTTGGATAGACTCTCAATTGAATTGTGGCATTGGACGAAGTCAGAGAACACGCCCTAAACCCCATCTCTCTCTCTCTCTCTCTCCATTTCTACCCAAATAGAGGTGCCCACTGACCCACCGCCGACACCTACTCTCACCCTTTCTCAATCGGTTTTCTTCGAATTGTCGATTGGTGAAAGTTCTCATCGATAATTTCTATACGGTTTCACTATCCATGGCGTTTTCTGGAGAGTTTACAACTCGTCGATTGCTTTGTTCATTGATGACTTCAGCTTTGATTATATTTTATTCTTGTCAACCGAGTTTTGAGTTTACTACTTATCAATACTAAACCTATCAAAATGAGTCCTGAATCTATATATGATCCACTTGTTTTTTTTTTTGACGGGGGGGGGGTTGAAATGCACTAAAAGTCCTAAAACTTATCACGAAAGTGCAATTGAGTCCTAAAACTTGTCAAAAAATGCGATCAAGTCCTAAAACTTGTCACGAAAGTGCAATCAAGTCCTAAACTTTCAAAAAGTGCAATCAAGTTTTAAAACTTACCACGAAGGTATAATCAAGTCCTAAAGCTTATCACAAATATGCAATCAAGTCCTAAAACTTTCAAAAAGTGCAATTAATAGAAGGACTTGATTGAACCAATTTGATAAGTTTTAGGACTTGTTTGCACTTTCGTAACAAGTTTTAGGACTTGTTTGCACCTTTTAAAAGTTTTAGAACTCAATTGCACTTTCCTAATAAGTTTTAAGACTTAATTGCATATTATAAAATTTTTTGGACTTAATTATACTTTCGTGATAAGTTGTAGAACTTTGAATGCACTAATCTCTTTTTTTTTTTAAGAGTCATGTATGGATTATTTCAAATTTGAAGAGCCTACCCTTAATGGATCTGAAAAATTAAAGTCTAAAATAAATGGGTCGAATTTCCCAACCACTAGGACTCAGACTCTGTTCTCTCTCCCTCTTCGCTCTCTCTTCTCGCAGGTAGTTGTCATCCTCTCCAGATCGTCGCTTCCATCGCTAGATGCCCTGTCCTCGAGCCAATCGACTTGCGCGACCAGGTAGGGCTTCATGCAGACGATGCAAGTGACTGGGAACCGTCCTGCCCCTTGTAGATGAGGAAGAATCGGTCGTCGGTGAGGCGCTCGTGCTTGACAACCTCTCCGACATAGCCAACGTCCGCCATGAGGAGGCGGAGTCGGCGTACACAACGCCGAAACGGAGGTCGATCTAGAGGAGCCTGTGCAGCATCATCCGGTAATGGAACTCAAAGATCTGAAGGGGGAGGATCACGCTAAGGAAGAGGACGAGGGGGAGGGGGGAAGAGCTGGAGCTCGTCGTCGTCAGAGGAGGACGCGGAACCAACGCAGCAGTTCTCTGAGACGAAGAAGGCCGAGCACCGGAGACAGATCCCAATTTTCACCAGTGCCATCGATGGCGGGAAAGACTGAGGTGAGGAGGAGCCAGAGAGGGTTTGGGGAGGAGGAGGAGACGGTGGTGGCCCCGGTGGGTATGCCAAATGAGGTTTTGAGAGAAGGAGAGAGTAAAAAAGAACAAAAGTGAGTTATGTGGTGGGTTTGAGTTGGTCCTAGATTAGGTATGGATTATTTAAATTTTATAAAAAATAAATGAATCAATGTGAGTTAAATGGATGAATTTAGGTTAAACCCATTTATGACCCACCCATTTGCCACCTCTAGGCGATAAACAACCAAGAATTAGTCAATTGTTAGCGTCAACAACAATAAAATTAAACAAAAGGTGATTGGTTTGGGGATTTTGATGAGGTCCATGAAGGCGTTAGAAAATTGAATACAGTTGCATAATCAACATATAAAAAAATTCAAATTTAAAGATCGAAGAGATTGGTAGGGCCATTGCCCCTTGGCCGTTTGGTATTGGGAAAATTACCAAAAAAATCCTAAACCTATTGTAATTATGCCAATTCAGTTATAAACTTTTTTTTTTGCTAATTGAGTTCTAAACCTTTTGCATTTATGTCAATTCAGTTCATCCGATCAATTTTGATTGGAAGTCACTGATATGGGCATTGGCCATCCTACATGGCACGGCTAACGCTAACGTGGATATTTGTAAATAATATTTTAATAATTTTTAAAAAAAAAAAATTTCCTTTTTTTTTCTTTCTTTTTTTTTCTTCCCTTCTTCCTCTAGTTGGTTGCCAGACCTCAGCGACCAGCCGGATGCGAGGGCCAGCGAGGTCGATCTGGCCATTGCTAGGTGAGGCTTGCCCTCACCAAATCCGGCGATGGCAAGCATCGCCCAGCCAGTGGTCGGCAAGGGCGAGCCTCGCCAATGGCTGGGTGAGGCTTGACCTTGCCATTGCCAATGAGGACGAACTTCGCTGGCCCTCGCCTCTAGCCGGTCGCCGAGGAAGAAACAAAAGAAAAAAAAGAAAGAGAAAGAAAAAAAAGGAAAAAGAAAAAATTATAAAAAATTATTTAAAAATGTGCACATCAACACTGGCCACGCTACGTAGGACGGTTGGCATCAACGTCAGTGATTTCCGGCCAAAATTAGCCATATAGACTTAATTGGCATAAATGCAAAATGTTTAAAACTCAATTGATAAAAAAAAGGTTTAGCACTGAATTAGCATAATTACAGTAGATTCATGACTCTTTTTTGTAATTCTCCCGTTTGGCGTTGAAAGTAATATTGGTTACGAAACGATTGCTGTAATCTATGAAAATCTTAGATATTGCATATGTTTCTTGTCTCTTTCTCTCAGTCGTGTAACAGGTATTGTTGCATCTACCACCGATTTCAGTTATGTAACTATGTCAACGTACAAATGTCAACCATCTGACGGCCATCATGTAAAACCTTTTCACACAATATTACTGACTCTTGAAATTATTTCGAGATATTTTCAAGAATCATTCTCAAATAAAGGTCTAGAAAGCACTGATCTCAGTAATGCAAAACGTAGACTTCATACTCCGACACGAGAAGTCCACTCGTCCGGTCGATGGAGTGAGTCTTCGTCCGAACATAACCGCGCGCAAGCTGGAAAGCTCCCGTCCCTCCTGTAATGGCCATCTCCCTCACCTCGAGCGCCAAGCTGTTCCTTCCGAGCATACTCAAAGTGCTCCCATTGAACTTCCCTTCGGTGAACACAAAGTTGACGGCCATCGACAAGACAGTCTCGGCCTGCGACACCGATGACGTGAGGCATTGGGCCCAGCCGACAAGCTTTGAGCGCGCGTCAGGGCCCAGCTTCAGCACGTCGTCGATCACAAAAACCGTGCCGAAGGCTGTGGCCGACTGGCTACTCGTCGAAGCTGAGGCTACTTGTGTGGCGGTGAAGTTTGGCCCAGCAAACGCTCCGTGCAAGTAGAAGTGAAGGTGGCTCAGCTTCTCTGATCTTCTCGGCCCGGCTTCGATTGACAGGCTGCCGGTGGATGTTTGGGATCGTGTGCCGAAGATGGTTAGAGAGAAGATAAGCGTGATGAGGATGAGTTTGGGTAGAGATCTGGCCATAGTGTGGTTGATTTGGGCGTGTTCGGCGTTTCAAAGTTTGGGAAGCGTTTTAGGTTGGTGGGTAGTCTAGAGGCTATATAGAATGAATTAGTGCCGTGAATAAACCGTTTCAAAATAATGCAGTACTAATCATCTAGATTCCATGATCTGATCAAAGAAAAACTTCATCGATTTCGTGGGATGTATATAAAATTGATCTCCGAATAGTTAGAATTTGGGCAAATTTTCGTGTAACAGATTATGTCCACCTTCCCATTCCGATCTACGACAGGCCATCTACGCCGATAATTAGAGGATTCAAAAGGAATTACTTCCTTGTGATCATGTCCAAGTACTTGCAACTAGGGATCAGATCTCAGTCGACCTTAGATTTTAGAGGCGCAAAATCCGAACCAATCCCTTTAGAGAGGCAAACACACATGTATGTGCAAGAATGAATTGAGAGAGAGAGAGAGAGAGAGAGAGAGAGCAATGACATTATCAAGTTATTATCAAAGTTGCGACCTCTTTATTTTCGGCGCGATTGCAATTCTTTTAGTACTCAAACAGAAAGACAGAAAAAAGGGGATCCGAGAAAAAGAGAGACTCGAAGCAGCAGATCATCATGAGAAAAGGTTTGATCTATAATGATCAGCAGTCGAAGAAGCAAGCGCATCTGTACTTGAAGCTGGAATCGGCTAGGCACTCTCCGCGGGGCTGCTGGGCGGTGTGCTTCTGGTAACACGCCTTCTGGCAATTGTAGAGGGTGCAGCTGTTCGGGTCCAGCAACTCTTGACATCTCTTCTGGGCATTTGCATGGGGCACCATCACCATGCACATCCCTGCAAGTTTACATCCGTCAACCATCAAGTGAAGTGAACCACATTATCGCTTTGGCTCGAAAGAGAATCTTAGAACTTGGGTAGACTTATTTCCATGCATATATTTCTCATCATTTAATTCCAATTTTAACGTACCGGTGTCCGCACGCCCAACCCCTTTAATTGAAAGAATTGTTTTTCTTCCCTCACTCCAGAAAATACTCCTAAGTTTAACATCCCAGAGTTTTGAACCTTTTTAATGATCTCATCATTTAATTCCAAATTTAATTTAAAATATAAAAGCAAAAGAAGAAATGGATTGAACATAAATAACTCCAAATTTTGCATCGTGATCGACTCTCTTTGTCCTTTTGGATTTGAGGACATCTTGGGATAAGAGTAGGTCGGGAATTGAAACCTGAGAGGAGGAGGACTGCTACGAAAATACGAGGAAAAGCGAGGGTATCCATCTGGGTGAGAAGAAGATGTGTTCTTTCAAGGGCTAATCTCGAACAAGCAACAGAACTCGTATGTAGAGAGGAAGGTGCGATGCTGTGGATATTTGAAAAATCTGATGCTGGGGGTGCTTTTATAGATTTTAGGAGGGTTTGTAAATTTGGAATGTACGAAAAATTAGATCTAGAGACATTTGGAGATTCAGGGAAGGTAATCTGATTCCTCCATGTTTTCTGGAGTATGGCATTCTCGTTTGCAATTAAGGAAACGTCGAATGATTAAAATTGGTATGATAATTATTTGCTTGATTTATTTGTCAGATACTAAAATCATCTTGATTTAGGATGTTGTTGTTGGCCCAAAAAGTACAACGGCAACTATTCAAAATCATAGTTCGGCAACCAAGAAATATAGATCAACCAAACAAACGTGTGAACAATACACTAAATCCCAAGATTAAAGTGATTTATTGTAGTTCGACTTTATATTTTACACTCGAGTGTATCTCTCATCTCACTTGTGGTTTACAATAGCAAATTTGTGTACAAGAGATTTCTCACACTTAGATATGACTATGTGTGTTCTAAACCCCTAAGGGCTACATTGGTTAGTCTGATTGTTTCGTGGAAATAAATGATTTGAAAAACGTTTTCAAAAAAATAATCCGCTTGTATCGCTTAAAAAAATGAACGGATGAAAAAAAATTATATTGTCTATGAAAATATTTGGATAAAAGCTATTTTCGATAATGAAATATTTTTCGTTAACTAATTAAATAAAATGATGCATGCGATTATTTTTAGAAAAATATTTTTCAAATTATTTATTTTTGGCGAAACAAATGGAGCCTTATCTCTACCAAAACCAAACAAGATTAGGACACAATCTAACGGTTAATTTTCGACTATTACGACTTTCGATCGGCCGTTCGCTCTAAAAAATAATTGGTCAAAATAGAGTTCTAGCTAGGAGCCTAGACATAAGGGTCCGGTCGCCTGCGTACTTAATCTCGTTTGAACAAATTTACAAAAATCGATAGTTATTGATGGTTTTGTAGTCATCAAAACACATAGGATCTCCCCAATTTTTTTACGATGATAAAAATCATAAAACAATACCACGAATAAATTCAAACTTTAAAGTCTAACATTCTCCTCCTTTAAAAAATAATCACATAATCAAGCGCCCCCTCAAAATAACTATTTTTTTTATATGAAAATGCTTCTTTGTTTCGAAAACAACATTGGATCCATAAAAAACTTCCTTAGGAATCCAGATCTTCTAGACTAAAGTTTCTTGCAATATGTCTAAATTTACCACAGCCATAACATACATGAGATGCAAACCTACTAGATTGAACAATGTCTATGATCTCGATCATTTCTATGATTAACATGATGTCTACCAAACATATTTTTTTTTTATATTCTTGCTTCCTTCAACTTTTTGAAAGGAAGACCTCCACTCTTCAATTTTCTTTTTCAAAACCTCATATTCATTTTTCGAATTTTCAATATCACTTCTAATAGATTCATTTCGTTTTTTTTAAGGGTTCATTTGTTTAGTGAAAATGATTTGGAAAACGTTATCCTCAAAACGATAGCTGGTATTACTAACAAAAATGAATCAACAAATTTTTTTTTCATTGTCTACGAAATTGTTTAGACATAAATTGTTGTTGAATTATGAAAATATTTTTCATTAACTAATTATTTTAAGCAATAGAAAGGGATTATTTTTAAGTAAACATTTTCTAAATCATTTATTTTCTGCGAAGCAAATTGAGCCTAAAAGAACTTTTTTTTTTCAAGTGACCCGGCTTATTTCTTTTTCTTTTCACCTTTCTTTTCCTTTGATTTGAGCTGTGGGAACTCTTTTCTCAAGTGACCTGGCTTATTGCATTCAAAACATTTTACATTCTTTCGCCAATTCGAATAATTCTAATTATAATTTTTATCTCTACAAAATTTAAAATTACGTGTAAGCTCCGATGTCGTCATCGCTTTGATCTCTAGACCCCTTCTCACTGTGAATAGAAGCTTCAAAAGCATTCTACATAACATTAAAGGTGACGAATCTAAGGAGATTGATATGATTTTAGGAACAATAACTTCCGCATTAAGTTTTACAGAAATGGTAGTCATGACTTATATTTATTTATTTATATTTTTAATCTGATTAGAAATCAAAATTAAAAGATAGTGGGAGAGACCAAAGGGTGTTCCCTCCCTTGATAGATAGATACTTATTTAACGTAGAAATTTCTTCCTACGTTAACTATAACATAATTCCATTGCATCGCACGGTCCGTGCGTCTAGTTAAAATTGTTTCACGGAAGCTTAAAAAAATGTCAGAATGGTGCTAGTACTATGTTTTATCTTTTACATTAATTTAAGCTAAATTTAGGACGGTCTAGTAAAATCAATTTACTTTGAGTGTACTTCTCAAAAATTGAACAGATGTTCGATATATTTACCAATTTTTCCTAAAACGAACTTGAAGCTGGCAAAAGTATTTTGACTTTATGGAGGTAAAATCGTGCATCGCCTAAACCTTATTGATTCCCAAAACTTGTGGCATGAGCTTGATTCATGTGATATTTGCGAAATCTCTACCATCTAATGTGATCAACTTCAGTTGAACTCGTCCAATCTAAATGGTGAGGTGCACTAAATTCACGTGAATCAAATTTATGTAACACGTTACTCCTCGCGATTTGGACGCACATTCGTGTAGCATTTGCCTTTTGTTCGCTCCCATCCACACATAAAAGAGAGGAAATTACGCTCCGAATTCGGAATTGTGCAACCAACTCACTGACTGGACACCACGAAAGGGAAGACAATAGATATCGTTGAGTACGATAACCTGTGTAATGCTATCATTATTAAGTTGTCAAGATGCGAGGACATCTTCAGTTTAAACACCATCGCAAGTTATAGAGCTCAAGAAGAAAGAAACATGTCGAAACGAAACCGATGATCATATCGAACAATCAGCAATTCCAGAAGCAAACGCAGCGGAATATCTGGCCGAACGCATCCGGTTTGGCACGATCCGAAGGCTCTTGTCGCACGTCGGGTGCTTCGTTCGACAGGCTGCGAGACAGTTAGGGGCATAACAATTGTTTGGGTCCAGTACCGCCGAACATCTCGACTGCGCGTTTGCACAGGGCATCGCACACATGCCTGCATATAGTTCCAATCGTCAAGACTAGTTTGAACAGATTAATAGGCATTGGTAATGGATGTGAAAGCAAATGAACCTGAGACAAGGAGGGCTACGACTAGAATATGGGAAATAGGAAGCTTCTCCATCTGGTTGACAAATGAGATCTTTCAATTACCTCAAACCAAAATCAAAAGAGTGCTTTGTAGGTAGAGATGAAGGTGCAATATGCAAATCAATGGACATGATTACTGATTTTTGGGTAATATATAGGTTTTAGGGGCTCATTAATTGAAAATATGGAAACCTAAATCTGGATATTTAGGAAAGGTAATTAATTGAAAATATGGAAATTTAAATCTGGATATTTAGGGTAGGTAAACTAATTCTTCTCTCCCTCGTTTCCTAACGTTTTTCTTTTCTTGTTAAATATACGTTGTCATTAAGTAAGATGATTTTTAGATCTAGAGAAATTTGGAGATTCAGGGAAGGTAATCTGATTCCTCCATGTTTTTTGGAATATGGCATTCTCGTTTGCAATTAAGGAAACGATCCAATGATTAAAATTGGAATGA